CAGACAATCACGCTAATTGCCTGGTCTTAGTTTGCATCGATGCAGTCGCGCGTTTGCATCAATGCAGTCGCATGTTTGCATCGATGTAAACGTTTGCATATAAATTGCAAGTGTAGCAATGCAATCAATGCAAATCGTTTCACAAACGCGTGTCTGCATCACTGCTAAAAGTCCCCGTGTATAATCGCTCTTAGAAATTAATATTATTTTTATTTATTAATTATTTAAAGGATATTATCTAAAAGCACTATCCAGACGATGTTGTTGACTAATCCTAAAAGAGCAAAAAGCTTTCTCCGTATTATGCAATTGGTACGTACGTAAGAGCAATTTGCCGTACGACAGTCGTGGGCGCTGTCGTACGGTGATTTCTGGAACGTTCTCACCGTAAGAGCCATCGCCGCGGGGCTCCGCAATTACGATTCGAAAACTTTACTTCTCAAGTATTCGACTTCAATATAGTAGTAGTTCAATATAGTATATAGTATTTTTCTTCATTTTATTTCTTCCGAACTTCGTACTTACTCGATGTCATTGGTACACACGAACTATTTTGGCAATTAATTATGAAATCACTGGAGTTTATTGCTGGTTTTTCTCAGGGAAATCTAAATACAATATTACGCACCAACACACACACACGCACTATTTAATATATAGAGATTCAGTTCTGTAATTTTACTTTTATTTTATTTTGTTTTACAGCTATTATACTAGTTATAGAGGCAAGACATCCTGATATAAGAATTTTCAAACTTAAAAAGTTACATGCAAGGTCTCAACCTTGTACGTAATTTTGTTTATATTTGAGACCAAATAAATATTTTAATTTTTTATTTATTTTATTATATTAAAAATATGTGTAATAAAAGTTCATTCTGACCACCAGTTAGCACTGCAAGAACTGGCTGAGAAGGTCCCGGGTTCGATTCCCTGAACTTACGCTCGAATTTTCTTAATAGATCCTGGTCCATCCCAGTGAGTTAATTGCTGCTTCTCAATTCAGAAGTCCACGGCACGAATCCCCGTGGCAGCGTGTTTCTATAAATTTGGTATAATTCCATATTTATTACAAATTTCGACATATTTCTTTTTTAGACGAAAAAGAGGTATCTCCACCTCGATACTCACCTAGCAATCCTATGGATGCGTACAGATCTGGCGAATGCGCCGCGAACGCGCTGCATGTGTGCCGCAAACACGTTGCACGCGTGCTAAATACATATTGAAACTGCGTCTTTTCCTAGTCGAGGCGCATAATTGCGATTCACAACTGGCCGATCGGAAACTTTTGATATTTCTAATCGGAACAATACTTGATTTCACTTACAAATTAGAAATATGTAGTAGGAATTAGGTTCATCTTCTCGCTCAGAAACCCACCTGATTTCGAGATTATCCGATAGGATCGCTGTGCGCACCCTAAGGATTCTCAATTTTCAAAAAGATTTCTTGCGCCTTTTCTACCTGTTTGTTTAATTATATTTTGCTTAGGTACATTTCGAACCTGTAAATTTCTTCTCTGTGCTATATATAAGGCTAAGGTGTGGTTTTGAATAAAGATATATTGTTATTATATTATTATCAATACTAGGGATGCACATTTTGATTCGATATGAATGTAAATCCATTCAAGTCCATACGATCTAACGATTTTTTTTAATCGATTTTGGTCAATGCGATTTTCAAGCGAATCGATTCAATGGAAAGGCAAACCGAATTGTCTAGATCAGAAAGGATTAAACATTTTGTAATAATATCATAAAATTTCATTAAAACTCGATTTACAACAAATATTTAGTGGTATAAATAGTTTTTGCCCCCGATCGTTCCATAATAATAACCAAGCCCAGGCATTGTCCATCTCTGATTAAGATAAAGAGTACTGAGAGCTGCAGACCGTCTTTCAAACAATTTAAAATCTGAACTTTAGTTTCCATTATATTCTCGAGATTTGTAAATTTATAAAACAGCACCCTGACTTCTCCATCAATCTTGACGACCTGCACTAGGGACATACTTTTAGACCCCGCAATAGATTGTTTTTGCCACAATCTCAGCTACAATTACGCAGCTCAGGTCCCCACTCAATGTCGGTAAAGATGTTCAACGGTCTCCCGCCAATTATTAAGAACGAGAAAAAGTATTCACTCTTTCTTAATAAATTGAAATTATACCTAATAAATGTTACTACAATTTATACTTTAAAGACTAAATTTTAATAATTAAATTAATACATAATAAATAAATCTTGAATATGTTGTATTATATATTCATATTGTTGTATTATGATTTAATTGGAATTTTCTCAGTGACATACTTTTATAATACATAATAATACAATATAATATATAATACAATATATTGATAGTGAACAGTTGAAGTGGCTAATCTAAGCCTCGGCCTGCCTCTACTCTTGTTGTTATCCCTAAGACAAGGCTCATATGTGTAACATTTTTTTAAATTAAGACCTTATGTAGCATATGAAGACAATAAATGTATTGAGTATTGATTATATTTAGTCTTGTACACGCTCACACAATATTCCCTATGTTTTATATTAGGTAATCATATTTTTATATCATTTCATTATACGGACCGAGACTTCAGCACGCTCATTTCGCTAAAATGCAGGTTACACCGTGAACGAAGCTAGGTAACTTAGCTTAACTCACGTAGTTGCATGTATAAAGCGAAGTTAAGAAAATACGTGGTAAGGAGTGTCTGTGGATACGGGCGAGGGTAAGGCGGCAGAAGGGTTAGTTAAAGAGCTGGGTTAGCTTATAATATCCTGCGATCTTGTAATGCGTCCTGCAAGATACCATACGTGAGTCATGCGCAGGATAGTGCGTGAGTAGTCTTCTCCCTGCACGACGGACTGCCATGCAGATAGTAAATAATATTAAAGAACACACTCAAATCCCCGTACTATGGAAACCCTGTATCGCGGGTGCCATGCACACATTCATAGACTAATACAAATTACACCCAAGCTCAGAAATTAATGTAGGCCATACAAATATTTCTCTCGGCCCAGGAATCGAACCCGGGACCTCTGCGTGATAGTCCAGCTTGGTAACCGTTCGGCCACGGAGGCCGTTAATGATAATTAATTAATGAATGGGCCGTTTTAGTTCGCGGTGTGAATCGAAGAATGAAAAGATGCCGCGGCTACGTGAGCCAAGCTACCTTAGCTTAGTTCGCGTTGTGGCCTGCGCATAAGGCTAGGCTACAAACTAAACAAATGAAAAGGTAACTTAAGAACATAAAGAAATAAAATAACGATTTAATAATATTGCACTTTTATTATCTCTCTAATTTGTACTATATACAAACGTGCCGCCTCTATGACATTTACTTACGGGCTAAATTAAAATTATTTACAACAATAACTAAACTGTAACAATTCTACTAACTAACGTGCTTTCTTTGGCTACTTTCACTACTATCTTTGGTTTGGTCATGGACCAACAATCCAAGAGGACTGCCTATTCTTCATAGTACAACTCTGTAAAAGGTCAAAATTTCTTCTTATATCTAGAATTCGCTGATCGATAGCCTGGAATTAGTTTGTATTATGTAAATGGCCGTGGATAATCAATTAATTCATCTTTAATATGAAATACAAGTGGTCAGTTTTTTTACTTGTAATATTTCGGCGCTTACTTACTTTCTCAAAAGCACAAAGTTACTGATATGCAAAAATGGATTGTGTATACAAATTTTGCAGACTGATTTCACATCAAATTTCTTCATATTCACACATTGGCTTTTACCTAAAGTAATGCATCCAAATTTGATAAGGAAATTTAAAATAAATAGAAAGTTTTGTCGTGTCCTGAATAATCACTCTTCATAAGATACGAGTTTGAGAAAGTAAGGTGGCGACTTTTCATAAGTGCCATGATCGAAAATTATTTTCTAAACTTTGACAAATATGCATGTCAATAGATGGCATTGTGTGTTACTAACCAATTTATAAATTAACCCTTGCTACTATGGTTAGATGGCGCTAATTCTAAACAAAATAAAAGATCAGCCGGCAGTATCCATAAAAATCTGTGCAACAAAGGCTATCTTGTAGCAGTAGAGCTCCTTGTAAAAGAGTTCGTCCAGAGAAATACTGCCACCTTACCTATTTCTGCCGCCAAGCAGTAATTTCCGCATTACTGTAAACAGCTTACCATCAGGCGCACGACTTGTTCGTCCCGTCACTTGATATTATAAAAAAAAATTGACAAATCACTTAGTTACAAAATAGCTATTCGGTACTTATCGCAACATCTGGTATACCAAGAGGTACTAAATACCCGACCACGCCGTCATGTACCGCGATTAGCAGTCTCTTGTATCATTGGTCCATGGTTTAGTGATTACAGCATGATTGGTGATTACTTCCACGAGAAAAATACTGGATAATTGAAGTAATGAACCTTGATGAATCACCCAAGGAAGGAAATGATGTAAACTTTGGTGATTTACTTATTTGATTGTGTAGTATGAAGCTATTTCGCATAAAGCCCAACTCACACTTGCGCAGAGTCGAAGCGCGACACAGTGTAGTCGACGTCTAACGCCTCACTGCGCGCAAGGAACGCACGGCGACGCGCGAAACCGCTCGACTTTAACCAAGCGTTTTGGTAACCAATTTGCATAACACAAATTTGTACCTTAATGGTGGTAAAATAGAGATGAATGTGCTATTGGCGAAAAACATGACGCGTCGCGACGTTTCGACTCGCCAATGTGAGTTGAGCCTAACAATCTCTATTTCAAATTGCAAAACCGTTATGTCAATAGTACATACCGGAATTATTAATTATCCATGATTCTTTGTATTATGCTGTTTAATGAATATCGCCATGTTTGTTATAATTATTAATACAAAGATCGAATACAAAGAAAAGTTTTACTCTCCTTCTCTCAGATATTACGAGTTTTTCTTTGCTTTTAGTTTTTAACGACTTTTACCGTTACGCCATCTGTGAGAAATTTATGAACGATTGACATGATTCTTTATTTTGGTGCCACCAGTTTTCAGCAGTTAAATATAAATCCTTCAGTTTTCAACTTCAATATTACTAGCAAGGCTTTCATTACTGTTCTCATTAACATCCATCGGTTTTTCTTTCTCCCTTCCACAATCACTGTCTTTGTTGTCTCTCGTCTCCTGATTCCTTTCCTCGCAAGATACAGGCATGCCAAATGCAGGATGCCCTGGATAATACATATATGGTAATGAAATATTTGGATAATTGACTCCCAAATGAGGACCGTACAAAGACTGTAACACGGCTTGATTGTATGACTCCTGTAGCAATGCCTTGTATTCAGGATTCTTTGCGAAATCAACACCGTAGACTCCAGCAAAGTGTTTCAGAATCGGTGAATCTAACATTGGTGGCGTGAATAGCGGACTAATACCTTTACCTAACATTGGAGAAGGGTATTGTTTTAGTTCAGGTAGAGGCTGGCCGTTATTGTTCACGAGGACTTTCACAGCGACTTTTCTGGCGTGGTTGGCGGCTGCAGCAGCGGCCGCAAGCATCCCGTTTTCTTGCATTTGCATTTGCTTTCGCTTAGTTTTGTATCTTCGATTTTGGAACCAGATTTTTACTTGTGTTTCGGTGAGTTTAAGACTGACCGCAAGGTCAGCGCGTTCGGGCCCTGAAAGATATCTCTGTTGACTGAATCTCCTTTCTAATTCATAGACTTGAGCGTGCGAAAATGCTGCTCTTGACCGCTTTTTACGTCCATTGCTCTGAGAATACTCGTTAATGGGATAGTTTGGAGAGATTCTGGTGTCATTGGGTGGCGGTGTAGTACATTTTCGAGGTTCGTAGTGGAGGAAGGGCTTGTAGCCGATATCCGAGTGAGGGGAGGAGTTGCGGCGGAGCGGGGAGCCAGTGTTGGACGATCGAGAGTCGTAGTCATCTGTAACAATAGAGCGTTCGTTCACTTCGATTGATCTGATAATAGTACCATGTTTACCGAGTGATTCTTCGTTATAAATAGCAAATGAACACTCGCCTACTCGCTAATTATTCTTGTGTTCTCAGAAATCGGAAATAATGCGATTTTCTAGTTATCATTGGGTGGCTTCCCGGAGTAAACAGAACCACTCCAAAAAATTGCCAAAGTTATAATTAAGGAGACGGTAGATACATTTTCTTGTATATTTTAGATAGCTTGTTTGTACCGAATCAAGTCAGCCTTAATGATAATTTTATTTTGGAAATATACATGCCTAGTAGTGAATTATAAATATATATATGGTATACGTTATGTAAAATTGCCGTAGAACAGGTTACATTTATTCTAATAAAGCTCGATTCAAATAGATAAACTACAAACTCATTAGGCAGGATTCACACAATCGCACCGGAATCAATTAAATCGGCTATCGGCTCACGCCATCCGCGTATAAAGGCGCGTTCACAATGGATCCATTACGCAAATTGTCGCCGGTCATTAGACGCCGACGACGCCACCGCCGGTGAAAGGATCAGCGACGTCGAATAGCGGCTAACAGTATTTTTGCGTGCGATGCTAAGCCTATTGTCGCAACTTTCTGTGCCCATTTAATTTGTGCCGTGACACTAATTGAAGTGAAGCATATTGACTAGATTATATCTGATTGATGTGTGACGTAATACAAGCTTTCTCGTGGCTTCATTCGTTTCACCATTAAAAAGTACTCCATGTGTACATACGTTAGACTTCATTTTGGTGATTTGAAATAATTGGGTAACAATGAGCCTAACATCTTATCATTTTCATAAAGATATACTACAGGAAGTAAGTTCTTTAAAATGAAGACCTCTGTGATCGAGTAGTGTCAGAGTAACGTATGCGGTGTTTACTATTTATTGAAAAAGGCAACGCCCTACATGAGTTATTGACCCAACATTATTTTGCCAAAGGTTGGCCATTTGTAATCGTGTTTTTATAACTTATTTGTTACTATATTGTACAGGCATGTCTATGCAACGAATTCTTATGTTTAACTTGTCAAGTCATTACCTGTTGTCACTATTGTATTTAATATGAGTGTTGGGAAAGAGAAGCTTATTAAAGCCAATAGAGATCCGAAGGGGTAAGATGTTTGGGCGTCTATTACCTTACGACAGCTTTCTTAGCAGCATTAAATAAGTAAAGGGGGCAGAATAAAACCGGGGCGAAGTTATTTAGATCAAAATAAGGGAACAGTTAATGATCTGTCGTACCAGAAAATCAAAGTTAGGGCTCTGTACAGAAATGGTTGGCGATTACTTCACCGATAAGAGCCTAGCACTTAAATAATAAGGAGAATAAGAGGAATCCATCTATGACTGGTAAGTCGACTTGTTTTTATTTAAGACTAGTTTGAGAGGATGAACACCTGGTAACATGGTCTAGACTCCGTCTCTCATAAGCAACAATCGGAATTAATGGAGTTTAATTTAGCTAAATTAAGGAAGTACGTGGACATTCCCTTCTACAAACCCCGGGACCCCCCGGAACTGATTACATGTGAATATGCGTATTGTTTATAAATTATATTGGCGACAAATTACTATTTACTATTAAGTATTTGCTATAAATTATTGTCTCAAAAATAATATTATAATTGAATTTCAATAAGTACTTACGTATTGAAATACTTTAGCCCTTTAAAAAATAAACATGAGATAACCTATATTTTGGAATGTCTAGAAAATAAATAGTAAAAAGAGAAATTTTATACGAATTGATGACGAATTGGGTATGTCTATTTTAAGAAAACGTTCACACTTTAGGCAGATCCAATTACTGTTCATAAGGGTTACATTTAAATGTCGTAACACAGTTTGCCTTTATTTAATGTAAGATTGGTTCATTTGATATTGATGTCACTGAGGGTTTTTTTAAATACTAGCTTCTAAACCTCGCTGAACAATATTACTAATATCATAGACAAAAATTCTTGTTCCATGACTTTTTAAAACTTTTTTAAAATTTTAGGAAATGAAACTATTTTTTCGAATTTATATCGCGTATATTTGTTTTTTCGAACAAACAAACGTTTCGGACCTATAAACGGTACGTACACTCTCACGTAAACACGATACGTATAAATTTCTTTTAAGTATTAATACCACAGACCAAATAAATTTTCTTCCGTGAGTAATACAAAGATCGAAGATTTTCTAAGTATTCGGATCTTTGTACTAATAATTATAACAAAGCAGTTATAATTATTAACTTCACAAAAAATAATTGGATATCAATTCAATACAAATTTCATTACATAATAAAATAACAAAAATAAATTTATCAGTTTTTGTTGTACTATCTAATAGTTTTTAGATTTTGATGGAATAAGTTCAAAAGTGCAAGCGTCCTCCGTGACGACTGCCACCCCCGTCTTGCACCGAGTCATAAAGAAACGTATTCAATACATGTTAAACAGCTTACCAGAGGTTATTAAACATGAAAATATAAAATGTAAATTTAAAAAAATGTTGCAAGATCATAATGTCACAAATTTTTGTTAAATACTGCTGAGTATTATATTACTTAAGTATTTTTAACCACATTGAGTGTTACTTTGTAACTTTAAGAGACTCGTTTCGATCCTGCAATTAAACTGTACATACAGTTTTGTAGCACTATGTTTAGTTAAGTATATTGTACTTAGTGTATAATTTGAAAAAAAAGTTTCTTTTCACATTTTTGAAAAAAATAAAAAAAACAGCGCCCTGGTTTTTTTGTAAATTCGTTTTTTTTTTCTTTCAGAAAAAGTAAAATGGAATAACGAAATAAAATAAGACACTAACTTTTGTATTAAGAACATATGTATGTGAATATATATAACATGTTTATTAAAATCAATTACCATGATAATTATAACAAAAATTTAATCTTCATTTGTGGTGTTACTAGCGTTACTGTTACAGGTGTTACAAGTGTGGACTTGTAATGTCATTAAAATGTTCTGTGTCTTTGTTTTCTTCATTCAAATCCTTCAGAATAATTTTATATAAGCAGCTTGCCAATAATTCTATGTAAATGTTGCTAAATAGGGATATGTGCGATGTGGAAAAAAATATTGATATCGCTCTTAGATAAATAAATAAGTAGTATTTTTACCAGTAATCATCAAAGTAGCGATGCAACAGCAACCGATAGATTTTTTTTAAAAAAGGTAAATCGTTAGAATCCTCACATTTTCCCCACATAGCGTCAATCCCACAAAATGCACAATCTAGTTGAAATTCATCTCAATTTGGGGATATTCGCCACAAATTGACAACACTATGAGTGTTGCCCATTATCTTGAGCAATTTATCTATAAAGAATAATATTAACAACAAAAGAAATACAATAAATTACATTAATACATTATTTAATGTTATACTTTTTTTTCTAAAAGTATGAAAATAAAAATTTATTTTCATACTTTTAGAAAAAAAAGTACTTCTGAAAAAAAACGGTTTCTTTTCATATTTTTTTTCACCTCAGAAAAAAAAAGGTTTCTTAACAACACTAATTGTACTCCATTTTAAATTCTAAAAATAAATAAATAAAAGCTATTACCGTTTAGAGCGATCTATTTATTGTTATATGAAAGTAAAATCTGATGCATTATTAAAAATCGTGAAACAAAAGTTACTGTTTATGACGTCGGTAATATGTTGCTGCAAGGTTGTTAGTGTTTTAAAAATAACCCTGTATTTAGGATTATGAAACAGCTTTTTTTATGTGCTAGTTTTCTTGTTATTACACGATTCAATTGTTTTGTATTACAAGCCGGGTTTAACTCTATCAAATTTACTAAAAGCAGAATATTTTTCTGTGTTGTGATGTACGACGACGTAAACAAGTTTTTAAATCCCATTGACCTACCAAATCCACACTAATTATAAATGCGAAAGTATCTAGGCTATGTCCATAGGAAAAGGATATAGGCTACTTTTGATACAAAAATAAATCATAAAGGGGGTGAAATAGGGGATGAAAGTTTGTATGGAGAACCAATAAAACTATGAAAATTTGTACCTATAGTACAGTAGGTTACTCGAAGCAGACGAAGTCGCGGGCACCAGCTAGTTAACTATGTTTAAGAGACGCCGTATACACCGACCGGTATTTTGAATTTGCGTGAAAGCGAAACAGGAGCGTAAATAATAAATTAAAAATCAAACTCACGCCCTCCTGCAAACGTCCACTCTGTACATTATAACAAATTATTCTTTGACACTATCCCAACTATTCGTAGAAAGTGCAGTACCGATTGAAACTAACCAATCGCAAAGCGTTAATACCACGAGAAATGCAGCGGGAAATTCAAAGTGGCTAATCACTTTGCTTCAACATCAACCTGTATTTACGTTTCACCCAACGCTAGGACTTTTCAGTTATTAAAGCGCTTGTTACACTATCCGATTTGAAAGGACCATAACCATAAGTTAGGGAGGTGTACTATAGTACAGTAGGAAATCGCGGGCACCAGTTAATAAATAAATAAATCTCCTGGTTAAGCTCGCTGCAACTATATCATCTATTTCATCTAGCCACATTGTAGTCGAGAGCAAAGCTTTACTAACACAGGCACCTAAGTGATCTCCTGAGATGTATAAAGTGTAACAAAAACACCATTTATAAATGTTAGAGAGAGAATTTTTTTTTTGGCAAAGGCCAAGACTTCAATCTATAGACAAGAGCATTGCAGTAACTACATGTTCCAAACACAACTCTATCAATTGTGATAGTGTATTGTTTTAGTGTTGTTGACAATTGGTACAGTACAGTAGGCTACTAGTTAGCTAGCAGTGGTGAGGCGTCCATATAACTGAATTCCCACTGGCTTGCCTAAAATATTTCACGTATCATCAAATATTATAAATCTAAATTCACTACATTTTATGCTCAATTTTAATTGCACAATATAATTAACCAGTGAAGTAAAATGTACTGATATCTTGTTGTGTGTAACTGTTGCCAAGGCGCCACTTGTTATGGCAAGTGTTTTTTGTTTTGCTCCGGCTAGACATTTTTCATGCCTCGCCACTGCTAGCTAGTGCACTATATAGATTAAAATCTTATTCTAGCATGGCGATATAAACCAAAAAAGTTTCTTTTTCACGTCGCCGAGTGTTCAAGCAATTTGCCAGCGCAGACACGTGTCGACTCAGTAATTACAAAATTGAAAGCTTCAATAGTTGTAAGCGTCATCACTTACAATAATGAGGGTCGTAATAGAAGTGATGCTAAGTGGCGGCGACGGCGCGGCGTGGCACCAGTGTGAACGCACCATTACGCTCGCATTGTCATTGCCACAGTGTAATTACAGCTTAAGTATAATTTGAATTTTTTGACTTCGCGGAATGCTATTCTGCCTTTTTTTTGTAAGTACTAATAATAAAAATGTTGCTTATAATAGAGTTATATTACGTTTTATATATTCATTTTCCATTTCAATTCTTGTTATAACAAGTAACGTGATGGATGGTAATAGTATTGTTTTAAATTTGATAGCAGTAGGGTTCCTTGTGAAAGATTTCGTCCAGGGAAATACTGCCACCTTACAGCGTTTCGGTTTTGAAGGGTAAGGGTGCTGGTAAAATTACAGGCACATTGAACTTATTAACTTATGTCTTACGGTGAAGGGCGCAGCGGCAGTGCCCCCTGAGATCTTTGTGTTTTAAAACTCCGAGTGGCACTGCAACTGTTATTGATAGGCGTGTCTCTTACCACTTACCACTAGGCGCATGATTTTTCCCGTCACTTGATATTGTAAAAAAATTACAAGCAAACCAACGCTTTGGGCTCTTTACACATCTTATTATTATAAATATTTCATTTGTGTAAGACTTGTGTAAGGGCGTAGGACGATATAATTTGTTGTGATATGAATGTTCACCTTTGACCCTTATAGGGTACGTTTTACAGAATTTCAAAAACTTTATTGAATTTGAAGGGTTGTAGACGGAAAGTATACATAGATTGATCTCAATTATTTGTTGGTTATTTTAAATTAATACGGAATCTCCTAAACATGGCTTATGAATTATTAAAACAAACGTCTTTGGTTTGATTTTCAATAATTCGCACAATAATCATTCCACAAAATTTATGAAATAATTGAAGCAACTATGCCTTTCAAGAATTTGCAAATATTTTGGTAATAAAACAATATTTTTCGAATCTAAATTGAACATATTTTTTAGCAAACCAATTCAACCAATAAATCCAAACAAACACAAACAAACTGATCGAATAACTCATGCAATTACGAGTTGCATGAATGTGCACTACTTTTTACATCACATACAAACCTATAGGGCAAACCCATACATAATGATGTAATAACTGAGAAAACTGCAACATACAAGAACTTGCACTATATTTTTTAGATCCCTACTCCCTAGTATTAGATCTAAGAAATATTTTGTGCAAATTCTTGAAAATTGTAATTGTTTTGTTAATGCCTTAATTTGTAGGGAAAGTCAAAAGATTTAGGCGAATTATTGAAACTCGTAGACGTCGTGTTTGTTTTAATGAGTGCTATAACGAGTAGATTGAGGGTTAATTAAAATAACCCTTAATCATTAGATCTTACGGTTTATAGTGTCACTAGGTGGCCTAGCTTTAGCAAAAATAAATAAGGGCTCGGTCCACGTTAATTTATTACCTGTAACCATTGACTTACAATTATATGGACGTCGGGTCCGCGCTAAAAAGTGTCCGCACTTGTAAGGCGCTAAAATCGTATACAGAGCGCCAAACTCCGCTTTAGTCTTCATTTGTTCGACTGACAGCGCGATACTGCGATGACATTACAATTTAAATTTCGAATAGGTTGACTTGGGACTTTCTTTCGTGGTTTTTGTATTAGACCCGACGTCCATTTATTTGTAAGTCAATGCCTGTAACTCATTGACTTACAATTATACTGTAACATGAAAATAAATGGACGATTCAAATTTTCAAAAGTAAGTGGCCAGGAGCCAGAAAAGATAAAAAGGTGAGATGACGATAAAGGAGACCGCATCGCCACAACTATTAACTTATTTTTAGAATCGATCGAGAACAGTATTATAACTTTAAAAAAAAAAAAGATTTCAAAATTCTGCTTATTTATACGTTTTAAACATTGACTTACAAATAAATGGACGACGGGTCTAATACAAAAACCACGAAAAAAATGTCCCAAGTCAACCTATTCGAAATTTAAATTGTAATGTCATCGCAGTATCGCGCTGTCAGTCGAACAAATGAAGACTAAAGCGGAGTTTGTATACGATTTTAGCGCCTTACAAGTGCGGACACTTTTTAGCGCGGACCCGACGTCCATATAATTGTAAGTCAATGGTTTTAAATTAAAATGTTTCCCGTAGGTACTGTTTTTATTTCAGAATTTATTTTTTTACAAACGAAATAAAACTATTTGAAAAGTGTATATCGCATAATATAGGTACCTACTTGTTATATTTAGTTCAGTTGATATAAAAAAAAAACTCATTGGTATATGTAAATTAGCTTGTGAATACAGCGGTTTTCTTGTAAATTTTCGAGGTAAATTTGTGTTTTTTTTTGTGGTGAAAGTTTTTAGGAATCGTGTATTTACACCGTATACTTATCAGTTATACATCCTCACTCAATTTTACTATATATTTTTTCCAAAGTCCAGCACACGTTATTCAACACTTTCACTGTTGTGCGGGCTCTACCACAACCATTTAAGGCTGTGTAGACTCTTAACGATAACCGAAAAGCATATGCAAGTCCTCATCAAAACGAATCATATGAGCCCAAAACTCAAGGTAGCTGCTGTACACTGCTGCGGAGTTCCTCATATCTGTCTGCCATAATATTTTATTTTTTAATTGGAACCCATGTATGTGCCAAGTTTTATTGAAATGGATTAACGGAAAGTGGGTGAAATTCAACAGGATTCATCTCCTAACTTGCCTTTATAGGTGGAATATTTAAAATGAAGGATACAAAACTAGTGGAGTGGTAACCTATCACAAATTCGAATTTTCTTCTTCCGAAATGACGTTTGTTCGCATTTTCATTACACCGAAAACCGAATTATAACGAAACCGTTGTTCTTTCAGGATATGTTGGATGTTTATCGCAAAGACACGATTGGGTTCGGCTAGGTTGGGTTAAGTTAGGTTTAAAAGAAAAAACATTTTCCTCTCGAAATTACTTTCGAGGTTATGAAAATTCGAGCAAACGGTATTTCTGGAAAATATCATTTCGGACCACTGATAGGTAACCCAGTGGACTGTATGATTGTATGATTGATAAATATTTCCTAGTTTTAAAGTTTCTTTTATTGCCAATTCACAAATTCAACACGTACAACAAAAAAAAAACAAAACATTAGCAAATCCCACGTCAATCAAAAAGATATAAAAAATAATTAAAAATGCATAAGAGTTTGCAGCAACCGGCCCCCCTCTAAATTTCAATGTAACCACTATTATAGTGCCTCCTTTCCAATAAAAAAAAGGAATGATTAAAATCGGTTCACAATTATCGAAGTAATTGCGTAAAATACACACAAAAAAATATGCAATTGAGAAACTCCTCCATTTTTAAGTAGGTTAAAAAGATATATTTTCGTCAATATATGTGTATATAAAACACATTATAAAATGTGTTTTTCTTTCGGATTTATCATCAATAATACCGCACACACTTAGACAACCACAAATTACACGAGAGAAATAAATGTAGGCCATACAAATAATTCTCTCGGCCCGGGAATCGATCCCGGGACCTGAGTGGCAGACCAGTATGGTAACCGCTTGTCTACGGAAGCAGTTTTATTAGCCATCAATCACAAGATTATATATAATCTTTCTTGAATGCTGGTGTTTAATCGAGGAGTAGAGTCATTGCCATATCAACAAAACCAACACATCTGGTTCTTTTCGCTACTGACTTAAGCATTTTATATTTTATCTTAACTACGTAAGATGTACTCAACTTTCAAAAGCAAAAGTGCTATTCATAGCTTTAAATGGCAAAGATCTGAGGGGCACTGCCACTGCGCCCGCCCAAAGTTGACAAGTCCCATGTCCCTGTACTTTCACCAGCACCTTTCAAAACCAAACGCAGTAATGCTTACATTACTCGCGGTAGAAATAGGTAAGGTGACAATACTCCCCTGGACGAACTCTTTCTCAAGGAGCTCTACTGCTAAATTCTCCTTATAAATATGAATGGCACCAGATTAGGCAGATGCTACAGATGTCAAGTAGATAATAAATCGATAATAAGTTATTTGAAAAATTTGCTCCAAAAGGACGATTCGGTTTCTTGAGTCGTTTTATTATGCTGGGGGTACTTAAACTTAATAATAATAAAATTTTGATAACTTAAGAGTTATCGAAACTTTTTAATTAGTAGTATTTTTAAAAGAAGGAAGCGAAATTAAAAAAAACTTACCCGATAATTCAGTTACAGGATAGTTATTCTTTCGCGACATATCCAAAGCACCATCGTCAGCAAAATCCCTGTATCCAGAGCAGTCGTCATAAAACTTCATCTTGCCCAAATTTTCTTTCTTCGCAAACCCTTCCTTGCTGAAACACCCCGCCGGCTTCTGCACAAACTTCCCGCCAAAATCCTGACAGAAACCATTTTCAAAATCACATTTTTCATTTTCTTTTGTCAAAATATCATTAATAGAAAATGGCGTCGTCAACTTTTCACAATCTTGCAATGTCAAAGAGTCTTTGTAACTCTTCATCTTCGATTCCATTTTTCAAAATTCGAAATTCGAACACATCAACACTTTGGTATCCGCCTTACCGCAAAAGCGTTCCTCAAACGAATAAACTTTGTGATGGATTGCCGCCAGACGTGGTTTAAGCCTTAGAAAGAGATGGCATTAAACTTTTCTTACCTTATTATCCAGTGGGTTAGAAAGAGACGGCGATGCTTAGGGCAGTCGTTTTTTAAAAAAGCCCGTGAAGTAGCGTAAGTAGTGGGGATCGTTGAGTTTTTCTTGAAGATGTTTACGTGAATGCGATTTGATCGCTTCAGTCGCTTACAATTGCAACGTTACCACATATTGGCTACTTTGAACAGAAAAAATATGCTTTAAATAAAAGAAATAAATATTGTATCAAGATTATCAAATAATACAGATAAATAAATTGATACATATTTAAATATTAATCTGTTTCAATAATCATTAGTTTATTTATATAACTATCTAATTACTATTTAGTAATTACACAATTATTTTCAAATATTATAATTGCTCTAAACATTCAAAAAAGCATTCATTTTAGCAAGTCTACATTTATAACCGCTGACTATTATATTAAGAATAATATAATAATAAATATAATAATAAAAATATACCTAATAATGCACTATAACAATACCTATGGGCATTATTTGTAACCAAACAAAGCGTCCCTAAATTATTTTTCATCTGGATAAAATATTAGCCAATATTATGCAAGCCCATACCTCGCCTGCACCTCCAATTACACAAACTTCCTTAGGCGCCCACCGTGTTATCGCGCTTCTTGCTCGGTAAGTGCCTGACAAGTGTCTATCTGTCTCTTTTACTACTACACCCAACCTCCGATAACCTAGCTCATGCGTCCTCTTCCCCCATAGAGCCCCATTTAAATCCACCAATCAGCGGCCTGGAGCGATTGTGGTCGACCAATAAAAGAAGTGGGTGAGTGGAAGTGTCAACATAAATTTTCTTTTTAATTCTTCAAATTTGGGAGATCCTCATTCGTAACGTTAATTTTAGTTCTTTTAGCTTAATAAATAATTCCCATTTATTAAATCAAAATGTAGTAATTTTAATATCTGTTATTATTTTCATAAATAATTGTGATGGAAAATAACATTATAACACCTTGCTCTACCAAAATACTGATGTGTATTTTGACTATTTAATTTGGCAGTATAAACTTATGTATTTATAATACACGGTGCTGTATATTTATAATTAACTTCAGATGGTATTATTTACAATTTTGCACATTTATGAAAGATTAAAGGTGGGAAGTATGTACATAGTACGGCAATAAAAACCGCGCGAGACGTTTTATTCATTTAAAATATGGAAGTCGGCATAGCATCCTATGCTATTAGCGAGGTCGACGTTTGCAAGCAGACAATAGCTGTCAGGAGCGACCACCTTCAGATTGCTTGTGCTTATCCAGCAAAGGCGTTTAAAGGCCAGAACATATTGCTTAGCCCACTTCAAAAAAGGAACAGTTTTTGTGTGTGTTACGTCATTACACCGGCGTTTGTAAACCACTTTTGTTGAATCTTTTTTTGTTGAAAAGAGGGTAGAATATTACTACCATTTAAATTTGAAGAAAATATCCACCTCTAAGGGTGGCAAACTAGAGGATGAAGCGGTTAGGTGCACTTATCGGTAACCGATGTCAATAAAACTTGGCAAATAGATTAAAGATAAATTTATTTCAATATGTTTAATCTAATATAATACAAGTTAAACAAATGTAAATAAAGCTATTATAGTATTGAAATAAGAATTAAGAAAGGAATCTAAATCATACATTCTTCATAGTAAAGCTATAGGTAATATTAGAATCTAATGTGTAGGTAATTGCGATGCCTAGACTAAATAAATGTACACTTGTATTTTGGGCATCTTTTTGGGCAAATTTTAAGAAAGATTTTCTATACTTAACTATAAAATAATTAGTACTTATAAATTAATGGTTACGTATATAAAAATAATTATACGGGTCACGTACAAGATTTAGACGCTGAGTTTGCGCCCTACTTTACGTGAATCGACTGATTCACTTTTTATTATAATTTAGTTGATTTAATAACTCTGTCGCAATCGGTCACATAAGCATCCATATAATAACTTGTATTTAAACAAAAATAAACTTTACGATTGTACGTCAACTCTATAACTTAACTAACTACAAACTACAACTAACTTAACTACCTACAATCAAGACGTCAAAGCCCATACAATAATTATGAAACAACTTCCAACAAGTCCTCTGTTTTATTGTTTGATGTTATTCCACGAGCTTTTAAGGTTGGTTTCTTTATAAAAAAGTCATAATTTAATATCTTTTTGTGTGTATGCAATTACTCCGGAACCGATTTTAATAACTCTTTTTTTTATTGGAAAGTGGATACCTCGGATACTCCCGTTTGAATTTGGAGATTATGTTCTTATAAAGATTGCAAATGGGGGTATGAATCTGGTTTACGTAATTTCACCCACTTTCCTTTAACCGATTTTAGTAAAACTTCTATTGAATGTATGCCATTGTGAACTAGAGCTAATCTGGTAATAGAAATGGCGGACAATTGAAAGGAACTCCTCAAATTACCTATTGTTTGGCCTTGTATATTTCGTTCACATGAGTTCGTTCTTTCTTGACGAGAACTTTTAATTTTAATTCAAAAATTTTGTCATATATGGACTTGTTATGACTGCAACAATTAATAGGTACCTCCCTCCCAATATAATTAGTTATCAGTAGCGAGGCGTAAAAATTGTGTTTAGTAAAGCCGGAGTAAAATAAAAAAACACTTGCCTTAACAAGTGGCGCCTTGGCAACCTGATGTTAAATGGAAACAATGTTATTTGTAAAACTACTCCACTGGTTATAGAGTTCTTTTAGGTTTTTGCGATTGTTATATACATACATAGGAAATGAATCTATTTTTCCGAATTTAAATCGCGTATATTTGTTTTTTCATACAAACCCACGTTTCGTGCCCTTTACAGGCCCCATGGTCACTGTCGAGTAAAAACGAAAAAGGTTGAATGAAAAAATAAATAGGGTAGGTCTAAGATGACGCATCCGACAAGTTATTTACAATACGCAACTAAGTTCAGTGTCTATTTGTAGTGCTAGGAAGTGGAGATTGTTGTGCGGTAAAATACTCAAAAATTATTGAAAACGAAGAAACTACCCAAGTCTCAACGTTTTCGTGTATTTGCATAAAACTTATTGGTTTTTTACAAATTGTAACTGAGAATAAACTAAGCATATTTCTAATTTATATGATTAAATATAACTACTTTTCACGTTCATATATAAGAGTTAGAAAAGCAGACTATAAACAGAAACAATAGCTGATTTTCTGGCGCTTTTTGTTTTCATTCTACACCGTCCCAAACCTTAAGCGAGTCGTCTTTAACCAGGCTACCCTACACGCCATTTAAATCCGGAAAACTACTTTCATTGCCTATGTACTCCACTAGTTTGTTACAATTATCAAATAAAGATCGAACACTTAGAAAAAAATCACTTCGATCTGGCTGGATAAACCAGATTTCGTATAACCAAAGTAAACGATTCTTTTATCGGCTAAGTTCTTTCGTAAGTTTAAAAACTACATTAAAAATATTTTGATCGAAAAGTTGAAGCCTACGTGTTAGATAGAGATGTATGGAAAGACGACATGGCTCTAGATTCCGCACAAATTTGATTTAAACTGTATTCCTTAGTCTACAAACAAGGAACGCTAACATTTAATAAGTGTTTAATATTTCATTATTGACGTTAATCAGAGCTCGGGCCGATATCAGGTTACATGAGCTTTGGGCTTAATAGCTTCTAGAGATGCCAGCCCCATTACTATGTGTATTTTTGGAGAAAACGACTGTACAGTCCCATAGATTCTTCGATATAACTTTTGTTGTTTTTTTTTTAATGAAAAGATAACCAGATATTATACCCAAACTCACGAGATAAATAAATGTAGGCCATGCAAATATTTCACAAGGCCCGGGAATCGAACCCGAGACCTCTCAGTTAACTTGGAAGTCTTTCTCTACGTACTACCACTACAATACATGTATGAAGTAAGGTGACAACGACAAGGTAACTGGTTATGTTTTAGATACCTACGTTGAGGTTTTTAGGAAAAGGATATAAATAATCTCAGCATAAAGTACTAAAAAGACCGATCTCATAAGTCATTCATCCCCTACTTTGCCACCCTTAGAGATGAATTATTTTATTCAAACGTAAATGGGACCACTACTGAGATACCCTCTTTCCAACAAAAGAGAATAATCGAAATCGGTTCATAAATCCTCCTTTTTTTGAAGTCGGTTAAAAAGGGTCAGTGCACGGAAGTACATGATACTGATATGGTTATATACAATTTATTTAAACATATACAATTTATTTTTATCTATATACTGCTTACTGTTGGGTATGGTTAAAGTTACCGTTATAATTTTTCCTTTATTTTACAAATAAAACACAATGTTTAATGATCGAAAATTTCAAAAAAAACATTTCATGTAGTTCGCGCCATTTTTTAAAATTAACTGTGACATGTTACGGGACATTTTTAGGTATTTTGGGAACAGCGGGACCCGAAGCATAAAAGCGGGACTGTCCCATTCAATTCCGGACGTATGGTCACGTTACGCATGGTGCACTTTTATTTGAGACATGATTATACGATTTATCATAGTATCATCTAGATATTCTTATCGAAGTTACCTAGCAGTAGAGCTTCCTTGAAAAGGGTTCGTCCAGGGAAGTACTGCCACCTTACCTATGTCTGCCGCAAAAGCAGTAATGTAAGCGTTACCGTGTTTCGGTTTTGAAGGTTAAGGGTCTGGAGAAATTACGGGCACATGAGACCATCAGGCGCACGACTTGTTCGTCCTATAACTTGGTATCATAAAAAAAAGACTCGCGCATTGCATTGAAAAACATAGACTTTAACCAAGTCAGTCTAAGAAGATTTTAATCAAGTTAGAGCATG